AATTTAACAATGAAATCGTTAAATATAGAACCTTGTGGAAAAATCCCTGTGAGTTTCACATTTCGACTTGAATTTCTGAAATAGGTAGGCTTTCATCAAGAATATCAAGAACATCAAGAACATCCTTTTGTTCCTAACACATCACCCAGTCCATATCAGTAGAAAAGTGTTTTCAAAGTGTTCCTCTAATTTTTTTGAGCAGTGTATATATTTTTACTGGGAAGAGTGGAGGCCTGTTTCCGCCACTTAAAAAAGAAAAAGCCAAATTGAAAGTCATATTTATGAGATACAAAGAAATTACAAATTCATGATTTTGAGACACAAAGCCATAATTTTGACTTTCACAGTCATAATTAAGAGATACAAAGTCTGAAAGTCGAATATCTCATAATTCTGACTTTGTGTCTTATAATGGCAGCAGCTGATTAGCTCCAGATTGGCCTGTTTTTCAGTGTGGTCCTGTTTCTCTGACTGTGCCTTCCTGGATGAGCTCTCCTCATCCTCTTACATGGGAGTTGGGCCATTTTGGGTGCTATCTCATAATTATGACCTTTAATTTTGCATTTTTTTTACTTTCATGTGGCGGAAACGGGCTTCCATAGAAGTTTGTCTCATCTTATGTATCACATCCATATTCCCCCCCAGCCCACTAAAACCAGAAAGCACACCTCACAGTTCTGACTCCTCCCTCTGCCAGCATCTTGCCGCTCGCTCAGCTTCTTGTGGTTTCCAGCGTGTGGGCCGCTGCAGAGCTCCATACACGCCACCATGTTTCATTTTCAGGGTTACCATGGGCAACCGGGCAACACAGACACGCACGGCCACTTCCTTTGGGGTGTTCACCATGCTCTGCTGCGACAAGCGCTGAGACGACGTTCAGCTTGGTTTTTCTTATTTGTCACCGTTTTCATGGTAATTATCACTGTTTAATCTTAGATACTTCCTCTAATACTTCACGCGCTTTAGTAACGCTGCTGCAGCGTGTTACCTCTGCAGGTGTCTGCAGGTTACCATGACAATGGAATGACAAGCTGTCATAAAGTAAGTGCCAAACTTATTTAAACACTGTTTAATCAGTTTTATTTCAATTTCCTCAAAATATATCACAATTATTGTGACAGTGAAACTTAAGTGCTCTACTTCCCTTTTATAGTTAGCGTTTCACTTTATCTCCCGTCTTGCTTGTTTCTGCCTTGTAAGCCTATATTTAGCTGTGTGTGACTTCCTGTTCTTGCAAATATGGTTATTAAGTCTTTTATATCCACGTGTCCGTTTGTATTATTTGCTGATCATAAATTGACTCATTTTGTAGTTAAATACCTTTATTAATACAGCCAAGTTTGAAGTTGTATAATTTAAATGTTGAAACTTAAATTAAGTTTTCTGTAGGTTTCCCTTCTGTGCTGCTGCTCCTCCAAACAAAGTCCAAATCCCCCCAAAAATAAAAAAGAGATTTCAGAGAAGATTTTTTCTTTTACATGTTTTTTTCCAAATGCTTCAATAAAAGCAGGAGTCTGTTTCAAAAAGTTACTGCTGAAATTAACATAGATCTACAAACCCTATCGGTCTGGGATGCACAAAATGACGAATGCAAGCTGACAAAGCGTGAATATGTTTTGCAAGAATAAGCAATAAAAAAATTATAATTTATGTATTCAGACTTTTAGATTTGTGGCAGATCCTACGGTCAGGCTTTTTGTTTAAACAAAATATATTAGATCATACTTTGTTTCACATATTCTTGCAAATATGTGATGTATGGATTGGAGTTGAGAAAAGTGGAGCAAATCTATTCTCATAGAACTACTGGTTCATATAATTAACAAGGACATTTTTGGTGAAAAGAAATGATAAAAGCTGACTTATAAACTCTTAAGTGACTTAATGACAATGCAAAACAGTTTTTTTAATGCTTACTAAATAATCAGGTGCAACAATCCTTAAACAGCCCTTTTATCTTTTGCAGTATTTGCATGGAAGAAG